TTCGTTTGTTGATCACTCCAAATATTGTTAGTTATTGGTTCAATTTTCCAAGGCTATTTCATAGTCGAAATAGAAATAGGAAAATGATATGCTAGCTAAATTATTGTCTAAAATGGGGCTTCAATCTTGAGAAAACTAAAAATTAGAGAGAGATAGTGATGAACTCGAAGAATATGGGAGATAGAGAGGGTCGAACTGAATAAAAGGGTATCTTGATCAAAAAATGAAAAGAATTCGATTATTGGGCTTGTCTCTAAACTTGAGTCCATTCTAGAGTAAAAAAAAAAAAAAAAGTATGGAGCGCGAGTTACGCCTAGCCCAACCCCCATTGAATAAATGCTCGGATCGTAATCGGTCCAACCTCTCCAAAGAAAAAAAAAAAAAGAGGCCGACCTCTGCCTCTCCTCCCTTACCCCTCTTTCATTAGGAACAAAAAACATAAAGAAGTCGATCTAGCCTCTCCAGAAAAGGTAATTAACAAAAAAAAAAATGATTCAAAAATAGGAGTAAAAAAGAAGGGGGAAAAAGGAGCAGGGAAGAAGAAAAAATAAGAAAAAAAGAAAAAGAAAAGAAAAAATGTTTGGTTATACTTTAAATTTTATGCATGCTTAGTGTTTTATATTTAATTTAGATGTTTAATTGTTCAATCATTTTAATTAATGTAATTACTTCAATTCATGTAATTTTAAACTTCTTTGTATTTTATGTATGTTTTATTATTAATTTTGACTTCGGTATTTGAATTACCTTTAATTTGCTTAATTGATGTAACTTTAACTTATTTTTTTAAGTAATTAGGCTTAAGAAGTAGTACATGGAGGATTGTTAAGTCTCCTAACTCTTTAGGGACTTGATGACGATCTTTCACCAAAATATAAAAAATTGATAAAAAAAATAAAAATACCAAAAATATTTAACAAGGTCTTCTATCCGATAGGGAATGTCATTTAAAAAATATATAAATAATAAAAATTCTCAATGAAATCTCCTATCCGATAGGGACTATCGATTAATCAAAAATAAAATTTTGTGATGAAATCTCCTATCCGATTGAGACTATCATTACCAAAATCATAATTAGGATATCCTTCGACATATCGGTTGTGTCGAGACTTAAAGTGGTACCGATGTTTGAACTGACATATCGTCCGACGAAGGAGACCGATGATCATTTCAATACGATCCCATGCCCAAAACTAAAAATTTTAATTTAGTTTTAAAAAATGGATTTTAAAATAAAAAATAATTTGGCATAAATAAAACCTTTTAGGAGATAAATTTAGGACTAAACTAGACATGGTACCTCTTTTTAGAAAGGACACTTTTGGGTGAATAAATATCTTTCCAAAAGCATAACCAATTCATTACTATAGAATCTCCGAACCAATGATATTTTTAAATTCCTAGTTCCTTAATTCTAGATGAAAAATCCGAACTTGTAATAAAATCTATAAAATAGTAAATAAAATCTAAATAATAAATAAAATCTAACTCTATAACATAGAAATCTAGATATTTTCGAGAGTCTTGTCCAACGTCGGGTAGCAACATTGCAAATCAAAGTAAAAAGGAAGAAAAACTTAATTCATCCCATTCCGTTTTGTTCTTAATTTATTTGCTTTTTTCTTAATACTAACTTTGAGTGTAATGCTTAATAGGGGAATGAATTGAAGTGAGGAGAATGAAGAATGTTTACCTAATGATCCAAATTGCACGGAAAGAGGGAAGATTGTTCGAGACCAAGCTCCGAGTTGCAATGACTAGCGACCTTCTCTCGGGATTTCCTAAGTAGCTCGAGGTTGCTTCTCCTTCAAACTCGGGTATCCGATTTCGTCCTTCTCAAGTTTTTGTTATGTTTTTAATAGTTTTTTACCTATTTTTCAAAACCCCTTAATTGTTTTTGTTTTCCTTTTCAATTCCAAAAAGAAAAAAAAAACCTTTTAATTTGTGTTTTAATTCCACCCCCAAAAAAACCCCCATTGAATCTCTATTACTTCCTCTATTTATACTATGAATTAGTCCCCCTTCCTCATTGCTTGTGTTAATGGCAGCCTTGAAGTGTGCCCGATCGTGTTTTGGGGTTCCCCTTTATAGGTAGTAGAAGTGAGGGATTATATAGGGTGGCTTGACAGGGGTTGACCTACTTGGTTTACGGGGTTATGGGCTATAAGAGTAAAGCGGAGGGTTTGTTAAAAAAGGTTGTGTAGTGGTTGACCTACACTATTGCGGGGTTGTGAGGTCTGCAGGAGTTACGATAGGGTGTTTATGGGCAAAGAAGGTGGAGATTTGTTTAGGGTGACCTACATTACTATAGGATTTTGGGCGGAGGATTTGTTTGAGGAGAAGGAGGTAGAAATGGTTTTTCGTACCATCAATAAATTAGTTTTTCATATTTTTCTCACGAAACCTAACCACAAGGGTGAAGCTATGGCAAGGGTCGAATCCACGGGGAAGTGCCCTAATTAACAATTTATATTGTTTGATTGTTTTGTAGTGCAAAGGAATTAAAGAAAGGTTTGTGTTTGTGATAATTTATAAGCAATCGAAGAAGAAAATAGTAATTTTATGCATGTGAACAAAGAAGTAGCAAGGTCATGATTCAAATTCAACCAAGTTCTAACCCTCTTCTCAAATTTTATTATTTGCAAGGGGGAACACACAATTTGACTAAATTAAATAATAAACTAAATTTTATCAATATGTTGATCAGCTCGACCAAATTTTACATGCTATTATTGCAATTTCCTCGACTTATATAAACCTTCCAAGCCTCCATTTAACACAAGAACCAATCGAGTACTAATAGTATGAGTGATTTTTATGTTTAAACCATAAAAGAAAAAGAAGTACTCAAGTACTAATAGTATGAGTGATTTGTATGTTCAAACAACAAAAGCAAAACCAAATATCATTGGTGTTTATCAAAAAAAAAAAAAAACATCGATGGAATCTTTCTCCAAATGATGAAGAGTTCAGATTTCATCAATCTAGCCCTCTAGAGCATCATCAACATCATGCTCTTCTTCTCCAAGGTCGCAAACTTTTTATCCGCTTGATTTACCCATCATAAGCCCCTAATTCATAGAGGCTTACATAGCTCTCCAAGCTTGGAAAAATGCAATAATCTCCGACCCTAGCCAATTTACAACCAACATGTATAGGCCACATGTATGCAACTACATTGGTTGTCGGCATAAACCTAAACCACGCCAACATGGTCGGTGTTTTGCCCGAAGAACTTGCCCTCCTCGAGGAGTTTTTCTCTTTCACATAAACACCAATCGCTTCTTTGATGTCATCCTTGATAGCTTTATCCATCTTAAATTTCTTTTTGAGCTTACAAAAATAATGTTACAACATGAGGGATGAAAAATAGAAAAAAAATTATTAAATTTACATATTAATATCCAAAAACACACAAAAAATTATTTAAATTGCCATCAAGTGAATAGTAATTTTATGCATGTGAATAGTAAGTGAAAGGAATTTTAAGCATATGAACAAGTTTGAATTCTCGTGTTACGAATTGAGCTAAACATATTTATTTTAGTTTGATAACATATACTATATCATTAGTTAATTTAAAGATAAAATTTCATCTAATTTTATAATTTTAATCTTAATATATATATATATATATATATATATATGTTTTGAATAAATTTTGAAGTTAAAAAAATATGATTTGTTCTTTCTTATGCATTTATTCTTAAATAAAAACCCATAATAAACAAATTTTAATATAATTTGTTTTAGAAAATGTCTTAATATTTTTTTCATAACATTGCATCGAAGAAATAAAGCAAAAATTAATATAAAAACTTGTATGAAAATTAACAAATGAAGCATTTTTATCGATGAAAAGATTTTTTTTAAAATATATACATTTGATTTATATATATTTATTTAAAAAATAATGAATAATATTAGTATAAAAAATTATATTTGAATTATTAGGCGATTATTCTAAAATATTATTTAAATTATTTTATTTGAAAAAATTAATTTTAAAATATTAAAAAATAATAACAAATAGTTGGTATTGTGTTTGTAGATGCATATTTGATTTTTAATAAAATCAATGATTATAATATTATTATTTTTTGTACGTCATGATTATCTTTAAATGGTGAGAATGTACTGCATAAATTGAAAAAAAAATAAAAAAATTTAAATTATAAAATATATATTGAAGTTAATAGAGTGTAATAAAAACTATTAAATTGATTTCGATAAAATTTAATTATATAAAGAGTAAGAAAATAAAGTACCTATATTCTATTTTTAAAATTTGATTATATAATAATTAAACAAATAAAAATAGGTATAAAAAAATTATTTGAATCCATACATAGAGAAAATAAATGATCAAAGAGCTTGTAGTCTAGTAGTAGTAGTAGTATAGTAGTAGTAGTCTCTTACAATAAGAAGTCACGAGTTCAAATTCTAGTAGACTAGTTCTATTTAGGAGTCTTAGGTGTTTGAGTTGGAAAAAAAATATAGAGAAAATAAATCATATCTATTAAGAAATAAAATTATATAAAAAATAAGAATAAAAATTAACTTGATGAGAATTTTTATAGTAAATCAAAAAAATCAAATTTAAACAATAAAAGTAGTTTATATTTATTCTAAAATCTAAAAACATATTATATATATTATACAACCGTTAGTTTGTGCGAAAAAAGTATCGATTGATTTTTTAAAATTTTAACATCCAATTAAATAAAAAGAAAATATAAATTGATGGAAAAAAGCAAAGAAAAAAAATCAAAAGGGGAAAACAAAAAAACATGTGTAATGCATCGGGTAGGAGATTAGCAAATTAGCTTTAAAAATTAAGAGGGAGAAATAAATAAAATCTGTTTCTCCATTAATAAAATCCCCCAACAAATTAAGTCATTGTCAAAGGCTATGACTGAGACCATATTGTTTTTTGCTAGTAGGAATTATACATTATACATGCAAGAAAAATAGGTATGAAATGACGAGTCTAGCTACTAGACGAGAAGAGGATTTAGGATAACAGAGATGGAATAGATGATGATGAGCAGGAACATGAAGACTCCGCAGAAGCCAGCAGATATAGCTGAAATTACGCGATAACAGTAAGTGGGCGCTTGGCTACAGATTGGTGACCAATATGCTTGAGAATCTCCGTTCTTGTGCAGATAAGCAGCTGCTACAGCTACTGAATCCATTGAAACAAGGAGCCCAAACATGATCTTACAAAAGAGAAATTAAAACCATATAAAAAAATTATAAATATCCAAAAAATTACTACGATACGGACGAATGTAGTAAGGTCCAAATAGATAATTAAAAAGACAAAAATTTAGACAAACTTAAATTGAGTAATAGAGAAGTGAGTATACCACATCTAAAACTATGGCCAATCGCCAGAGCAAGCTCTTGGGAGGAAGGCATGCAAAGAAAAGGCTGTAAAGGGTTGCAGCAATGTTTGCACCCAAAAAGGCCCTGTACCAAAGATTTTTTTAATCAGAGAGAGTACGCATGCATGCACTAAAAATAAACTGCAACTTTTAACCTAATAAAGTCGAAACAATACACAGCTAGCTGTAACTTACTTGAAGAACATGAGGCCTTTATAGTCTACTTGGTAATCGAAAGTAGGGAAGGTAGCTCTTTCATGGCTTGCAGCCATGAAAGCAGTTGCAAGAATAGTTGAACAAAAAGCTAAGCCTCTGAGACCTCGAACAATCTGTTTAACAAGTGGTGGTATTTCTGGATCGCCCATTTTCACTGCAATATATACTTCATTAATTATGAGTGGTTGTAATTTTTAGGAAATTTTGGTATTAAACATTATTAGAGAAATTGTAATTTAGTATGCCAAAATAATTAATGGTGCAAAAGTAAATGGCAATACATAGGCCTTGACCTATTCAATTCCTAAATCTCATTTCACTCTTCTCAAGACTTACTTGAATTTGTTAGATTACATAGAAATCTTGTCTTAAACGGCTAGATTGTCGTCTTAAAGAGACTAGTAATTAAGCTTCTGTTTGTAATAAGGTCCCAAGGCTGAGGTTGTCCGATCCATCATTGAACTTGAACTCCAAAGTCGTTTATATAAATATTTATAGGATTAATGAATATAGTAATAAGGGAAGTACTGGCAGTGTACGTACTTATGTACATAGTCCTAAATTCAGTAAAGATAAAACCGAAAACAAAAGGGCACAAATACAACGCAAATTCAATGTATAATTTAAACTAAACTAGACAAATTACTCGTATATATCCAATATATTACATAACTCTTCAAAGTTTATATATATATATATATATATATGTTCGCGCGTGCTCTCCCCCGAATGCCAAGCTACCTAACCAGTAACCAAGGTTTTTCACGCTTCACCTATCTCAATGTTATTTGTGACTAATTTTTTTTTTTTTTTTTTTTCATTCAAAAGTAAAGGTATTCTCATCCCAACTTCAACTTCAATTGTTAAGAAATAAAATATCTATCAACCCTAAAAATTACATGCATATCACCACAGTTAAACCTAAATCCCGACTTTCAATGCATAAAAGATAAATAAAGACTCCAAATTAAATTATTTTTTATTAAATCCTATTTAAGTAATTTAAATTTAATAAATCAGCCACATTTCAAGTAAATCACATTAAACATAATCATAAACAACGAAACCTCATGCCAAATGTAAAAATACGGATGAATGTGAAATGTAATTCGAAGGATCAAGGGGTTTGGCTACCTCAATTTTCAGACTGGGGACCAAAATAGTAGCTTCAGTAGGAAACAGGGACTGACCAAAATTACTGATTCAGTAGGAACGGAGCAGAGCGTGGTCCAGTCGCGCGCGTGGAACTTTTCCCGGAGTTGGAATTGCCTCGATGTAGTGGTGTTGGAATTTTCGAAGCGGGGCGATCGTTTTTGGATGGTTCGTGTTAAAATCGAAGGCTGTGTGGGTAGCGCCGGCTACGGTCTTCCCCTGTCTTCTCTCTTTCTTGTCAGTTTGTCTTTTTCTTTTCTTTTTTTACGTCTTAGGTTTTCTCTACTGTCTGCGTGTCAGCCTCCCGTCTTGAGTTTGTGGTGGGTGGTATATTTATACGGTGTTAAAGGTTAGATTAGGGTTTCCGTTTTGGATGTATATTTTTTCCAAATTAACAAGCCGGGTTTACCAAGCCGATTCCCTGACGCGCCTGGGCCAAGCGTGCAGCCAGCGCACACCAACGCTGCCCAGGCCGATACTTTTACTTTTTATTTTCAATTTTTTTTTTTTTTTAGGGATAAAAATGAAACAATGACACAAAACACTAATTTTCAAATCAAATTGACAATAAATTTGGTTGACCTAATCTTAAGTGCTAAACAATTGGCGTTGCTGTAATAAGGTACTCTTGAAGACTAGGGAAAGATGGGAACCTAGACAAGATATAAAGATTGTTTTTAATTAGATTAGAAAATTACTTTCCAATTTATATGATCCTTGATTAAAAAAGAAATTAGCAAAAAGGTGAACTTGTCAAAACAAATAATTATTTCTAGCAAACTTTTATATATATATATATATATATATATATATATATATATATATATAGATAAATGTGCATGGTTTAAAAATTTTTAAAACATACAAAACATTTAACATGTATATTTAAAGTATGAGTTGATGCATGTATTTTGTTGGAAATAATTATTTAAGAAAGTCACTTGAATCTATACATATGTAAGCTATACAATTTTTAACTTTAAAACCTAAACTACTGGATCATGAGTCATTACTTATATACAAAACACTAATTTTCAAATCAAATTTATTCCATTAAGTTTGGATGACCTAAGCCTAAGTGCTAAACAATTGGTGTTACTATAATAAAGTACTCTTGAAGACTAGTGGGAGACGAGGACCTAAACAAGATATAAAGATCGTTTTTAACTAGATTAGAAAAAAATTGTTTCCAGTTTATAAGATCCTTGATAAAAAAAAATAAAATAAAATAAAATAAATAGCATAAGGGTGAACTTGTCAAAATTAATAATTATTTCTAGCAAACTTTTTTTATAGATAAAAGTGCTTGGCTTAAAATTTGAAAGCATACAAAACATTTGACATATATATTTAAAGTATGACTTGGTGCATGTATTTGTTTGAAAGAATTATATAAGAAAGTCACTTGATTCTATACATATGTAAGCTATATAACTTTTAAATTAAGAACTTAAACTATTGGATCATGAGTCGTTACTTATACACAAAAAACTAATTTTCAAATCAAATTTATTCCATTAAGTTTGGATGACCTAATCTTAAGTGCTAAACAATTGGTGGTGTTGTAATAAAGTTCTCTTGAAGACTAGCGGAAGACGAGGACCTAGACAAGATATGAAGATCGTTTTTAATTAGATTTTAAAATGTTTGTTTCCAATTTATATGATCCTTGATAAATAAAAAATAAAAATAAATAACAAAAAATAGCATAAGGGTGAACTTGTCAAAATAAATAATTATTTCTAGCAAACTTTTTTTTTAATGGATAAAAGTGCATGGTTTAACAATTTTTAAAGCCTACAAAACATTTAACATATATATTTAAAGTATGAGTTGGTGTGTGTATTTTGTTGGAAAGAATTATATAAGAAAGTCACTTGAGTCTATACATATGTAAGCTATATAACTTTTAACTTAAAAACCTAAACTATCGGATTATGAGTCGTTACTTATATACAAAATGCTAATTTTCAAATCAAATTTATTCCAATAAGTTTAGATGACCTAATCTAAAGTGCGAAACAATTGGTGTTGTTGTAATAAAGTACTCTTGAAGACTAATGGGAGATGAGGACCTAGACAAGATATAAAGATCATTTTCAATTAGATTTTGAAAATTTTATTTCTAATTTTTATGATCCCCGATAAAAAAAAAAAAAAATAGCATAAGGGTGAACTTGTTAAAATAAACAATTATTTCTAGCAAACTTTTTTTTATATATAAAAGTGCGTGGTTTAGCAATTTTTAAAACATACAAAATATTTAATATATATATTTAAAGCTTGAGTTGGTGCTTGCATTTTGTTGGAAAGAATTATATAAGAAAGCCACTTGAGTCTATACATATGTAAGGTATATAACTTGTAACTTAAAAACCTAAACTATTGGATCATGAGTCGGTACTTATATACAAAACACTAATTTTCAGGTCAAATTTATTCCAGTAAGTTTGGATGACCTAATCTTAAGTGCTAAACTACTGGTGTTGCTATAATAATGTACTCTTGAAGACCAAGTGGAAGATGAGGACCTAGACAAGATATAAAGATCGGTTTTTAATTAGATTTTAAAAACTTGTTTCAATTTATATGATCCTTGATGAAAAAAAAATTAGCATAAGGGTGAAGTTGCCAAAATAAATAATTATTTCTAGCAAACTTTTTTTTATAGATAAAAGTCCATGGTTTAAAATTTTTTAAAACATACAAAATATTTAACATATATATTTAAAATTATGAGTTGGTGCATGCATTTTGTTGGAAAGAATTATATAAGAAAGTCATTTGAGTCTATACATATGTAAGCTATATCACTTTTAATTTAAAAACCTCAACTATCGGATATTGAGTCGATACTTATATACAAAATACTAATTTTCAAATCAAATTTATTCCACTAAATTTGGATGACCCAATCTTAAGTGCTAAACAATCCACTATAAAAATCCGACATATAGCGATGGATTTTTTCATTGATGTATGTCAAAAATTTATTGCTATATATCATTAACGACAGATTAGAGATAATTTTAATTTCATCGCTAATTTTCTATTTGACACCCTATTCCTTTCTAGCTTTTATAAAAATTATCAAATAAATATTTGGTAAACGTTTTTAATACTTCATTGTTTACGAAGGAGTGAAAACTTATTACCTTCTATTTAGAAAAGAAGAGAAAGTGATGCTTTTGTTATGGAAGACCATTTATTTTATTTAAAAAATAAAAACTTAAAAAAATCTAGCATATAGCTATGGATTTTTTTGTCGCTAATATGTTAGTCTTTCTCTAAAAAATCCACTTATACCCAATAGGTCCGATACCTTCGAGTGGATTAACTAAAGTTCATACTTTGTTAGTGTATACGAATTCTATTTTGAATTCCATGGCTTCATGTCATTTCTTATAGTCAATGTCTAACGAGTGTTTGTTCATAGGTATTAGGTTTGTCATCCTCTATAAGAGATACATCACTATGTGTAGAAACAAGAAGACTATATCTTTTTGGCTCTTAATGAATTCGTTAGACCTATGAAGTTTTTGTATATCTATTTATGGGTTAGTTTGTCACAATCCCCAGATTGGGTCATGACCGACGCGAGGATCGAAAGGATCGTGGGGCCCACTTCGATCCAAGCAAGTCTCGGATACTAAACTAAAACCCTAAATTCATTATCGAACTTATATTACGATCCTCAAATTAATATCACTTTAAATATCATTCTCATTAGCATTAACCCAATTTAATACATATTTCTTACAACCTCAATATAATGCATAATTCAATATTCATAATCAATTCTTAACACGATACCTATAGCTATAACTGTAGAACTTCTATGATTACAATTTAAAATAAATATAGGTTTTAAGAAATTAAAATTAAAGTAAGTCACACAACCAAAGTGCCGACTTCAATTCGAGCGACCAAAAAGAAGTAATAAGAAATCCCGTAATACCCTGCAAGACTAAAATAATGAGGGGTAAGCAATCAACGA